AATGTCTACACACTAATCCCAGTATCAGACGTCTAGAAGTCCATCAGAGGAGTTCCCCAGGTCACGCATCTCCAGATTCAATTCAATTCATTTTTTATCGCCCTAAAACAGGACAAAATTGTTGAATTTGCAGACACAGATCAGAGAATGAAACTGGATTTTACCCATGATGCTTTGGACTGAATGAAGTCTGAGAATGAGCTGTATTTACCGGACTCTCCACGACTGGATCAGGGCAGTTTTCTTACAAATATCCGGTTTCAGGCGATTGTTAGTGTTGGAAGGACGTTCAGACACTTTTCCAGACTTTTTTTTTTCTTTTTTATCAAATCAAGTCTCAAGTTATTACAATTATTTGTGACTAAAGACCACATCTCTAAAAATATTGGCAGGTTTTGACACTCCTGATCTATGGTTTTTGAAGTTACACAGAAAAAGACATGAAATAGGCTTTGTCTCAAGTCCAATTGAGACGTCTTGAGAAGTCTTTTAAGTGCTCCAGTCCAGAGTTTTAATCACAGACATAAACATAGCCAACAAAACCGTTCAATCCCGATTTAAAAATATATATAATCCAAAAAGCGGAGTCAGGTTGCGGCGTCATGGCATCCCCGGGTCACTGTAGACACCATTAATATTTTTCTTCTGAGAATACAGAAAACTAAGCAGATATAGATGGATATTTTTGTTTGAACAATTTCCATTTTTAGGCACAAAGAGAGTACAGAAACATCGGAGGAACACTGAGGGAAGAACTATATCAAAGCCAATGGATACTGTATATAGAGATTTTTTTTCCAACATAGAGAGAAAAAAAAGTGGCGTAGAATATCATCTGATCTGATTAGTGCATTTTCCACCAAAAACACACACACGCATTTACGCACTCGCACTGTAAAGGAAAAAACATTCAAAAGACAATGAGTTGGATTCTGCGTCGTCCAATGGGAGTATTGTACTGGGTGGATATGACTTGAGAGGGGCGGGGCTTACACAAAAGCCGGGCCCCTATTGGCTCACAGTGTTAGAATAAAAATGGCAGGACACCACGAGCGGGACATGCCATCCCTTCTTCTTTTTTTTTTTTTTTTCAAGTACAAAAAACAAACAATTGCGGACAAAGTCAAGTCTGATTTAGGAAAAAAAATCTTTTGGATAATTATTTTTTTTGTAATTTCACGGACACACACGCACACACACGTACGTCGTAAAATTGGCGGTGGATGGGTTTTAGTCCTTCACCTACAATGCGTTTTTGACATCCAGAAAAAGCAACACTTAATTATACAATACGACATTATTTTTTTTCCAACAATATCAAAGAGGAGCAAGGCCAACAATGATTCACACCCATTGAAAGTAAAAAACATAGGAGACATACAAATATTTGTGCCCTGCTTCACCCCTCCACAAATGGAAAAAGGACCGACACTGACTGAATACAAAAATATCACAATTTTTATATATCAAATTGCCTCTGTTGGCTCTTGTTCAGGAATACACATTTATTTATTGAAGAGAGCTGAGAAAAAAAACAAACAAAAGTCATCTTTTTGATTACCGCGTTTTGCTCCAATTGTCCAGACGCACTCCACGCTGTAGCTAACCGGAACTGGGCGCTTTCTCAAGAGGAACTCTCTCTCTCCCGTTGTTTTTGTTCCCCCCTCTCTGTTTTTCACATTATAAAACTACAATTCTATTCACATATTTTCAAGTTTTAAATTCTTGCTTTCCGAACATCTCTCGAAAAGCAATGGTACATCCGCCTAAATCTTCCCCTGTCACTTTTTAAGGCTTCGAAATTGCTTTTTTTAAATTTTAGTTTTATTGTTGGTGATTTCAAAATTGGTTGGTTGCTTCTGGGGAGCCATTTCTTGTGATTTTTGATTTTTGGATTAAGAACTCCATGCTTTCTGTCTGTCACCACTTCCCCCTAGCTACTCGAGCCTATGTACACTCAAAAAAACAATCATAAATCAACTCACAAGCGATGAGATGACGGAGCAACGATGAAGTAATGCGAACACGACGACTTGTGCTTATGCGATGCTAAAACATAAAATCATAGAGGTAGCTTGTATAAACATAGATATGACCAAACGTCCAGCTTGCGAACAAGCGGCGCCGAAAACCGACGTTTGGTGACGTGTAATGCACAAAGAAATGACAAAAAAAACACAAATCTCTTCAATTGTGGCACTTGCGATATCGCTCCGTTACGCCATTTGCCAAAACGTGAACGAAAAGGGGGGGAAACCACAACGTGAGGTCACATAACGAGGTAATTCAAGTACAAAGTATTGAGATCAAACTCAAAGAAAGTCAAGGATAAAAACATGAAACAGAACAAATCAAAATAATAATAAAAATGGAGGGAGATGCATGGGAGACGCAGGGGGACACACAGTGGAAGAGTTGATTTATCCTTGTCCAACGGCTCCTCCCCCTCTGATCTCCCCCATCCCGCCTTCCTCGTCCTGAGCTGTGAGCTGCGATTGCCGATAAAATGTCCACCCGAATTTGAGTTGGGTTTTTTTTTTTGTGTGCACGCCGAACGCTGCCTTTCAAATGGATGGGGGGAAAAACGTCGTAAAAAATAGGTTTGGTAAACTCTATACAGTGAAAAGTGAAGACAGGATTGGGTTTTCAATGTTTGGATCGATAACCGTAAAAGCGTCAGAGATCACTTCTAAGGAGGTGGTCGCGGTGTGCTTGCGTTTGGAGGCGGAATCCAATAGAACGTTAAGGTGAACCGGATTAAGCTAATACAAGCTAGCTTTTAGGCATAACAGCTGTTTCAACCCTTAAAAAGTTGATGTTTGCGACGCATAAAGTTGCGTACAGACACACTAATGAGGTTTCTGGTTATCTTGCTGTTACGGTTGCAATTGGCAGCAAGAAAAGATACGATGCATGAATCAAATAGTCTAGCTTGAAAAAACTTCAATTCAGATGAGTTTTCTGAATATAGGTATTATTGGCGAGGTTAGATTGAATTTTGGCACAGGATATTTCATCCGTTATATCCATGACAGTCCATATTTTTTAACCCATTAGCAAGTCACCAAGTAAGACGTTGAAATTGGTCACTAGTACAAGAATGTTAATTTTGTTGACTTTTACGGCTTATTTTCTCATTGAAAGACAACTACTGGTTGATATGTAATTACCATGGCAACAGGTTTTGGCCGCAGAGTTGCGAGCAGTCATCAGAACGCCTCAAAACCAATTTTTATTTGTAGCATTAGCCAATCCTAGACTTCACTTTTCCAAAATGGCAGTAGTCGCTGTTAGGTCCCCGCACAGAATCACCCATCGTGGCGTGAGTCTCCGGGCTTTGACGGTGGCAAAGGCGGCGCTCGGCGGCGTTGGCGTCTGAAGCACGAGTATGCGCCGGCCTTACAGTCTTTTCACATTCATTTTAATGGCGTATAACAGTCTCCACCGTGCTTCACTAGTTTCACAGGCGAGGCCCTAATAGTACGAACACTGTCCCGTTGCAGGGGACCGCTTCTCCGCTGTGTCAAATGTGCTCAAATGTGGCGTAACCGATGTTTGCGTAGTTGATCGTTACCGTATGTTCTCGGGGGTAATAGCAGTCCAAGGTTATCTATTGCTGATACAGGTGAGTAGGCAGGGTTTAATGTCCTGTAAATAGTGTATATGAGGAGAATATATACCTTTGACATCAAACAGAGACTGTTGTCGTGAACGGTTTGTGCAATCAAGCCATAACGATAAACTATGATGCTGAGCTAAACGAAACATGAGCAGAAAGAAAAAACAATGTCCAACAAAAGTCATGTCCGCCTGTGGTCGGTTCATTGGTGAGAACCGTTGAGCGAGATGGCGACCGCACCTCCAGCCCTTGATATGACGGAGATGAAGGACCAGGGAAGACTGCTGAGAAAGTAAAACAAATATTCAAATAAAAATAAAAAACTTGGGAGGAGGATTCCAACGAACACAGCAGCATCTCCGTCCTCCCCCTCAAAACCAAATAGGTGCTTGGTTTGCAGTGTACATTAGTGCTCCCATCTGTCCAGTTCTACGGTTTCGTCTACTGCATATGCCGCGGAACTCGGCGGCAGATTCTCAAGGGCCACACGGCACGAACCGCGCGCTGGGATTTGCGCATTTGGGCGTGTGTTTGGCGCACTGGAAGTTTTCATTGGGAGAAATCTCGGCCTAGTTGTTTGCTTGGATGAAAAAAAGCATCCAAAATCATGTCTTGACAAAGCCTTGAGAAGACTTAAATTGAGTTATACCGTCGGGAAAATTCTCATCATTAATTGCTGATAAGATTTAAACAAAATATTTACAGGTTTGTCATTCTCAATTTGGAAGTTAGTGAAAATTGAAAAGACAGGCCACATACATTGAATCATAACGCTACCTAGAACGATCATGTGTCAAATTTAAACATTGACATACAACAGGATTCAGCTCCACGTCTTTCAGAGAGGAAAAAAAAAAATCCTCTTTACGGATAAAATTAGAGCAAATCAGTGCTCTTACTTATTAGTCAAGTGACCTCAACTATGATGACACAACATACACAATCAAAAGAAATGAAACTTTTCTTTTTATTGAGGGGTTTGACACATTTGAAGGCCTGGATGTGGATAACCCTTGAGAATCTGCACGGTCCACCTAGCGGCAGCAGCATCCACACAGCGCGCTTGCGGAGCTGCGTGAAATGACCTGAAACTCAAAGAACGCAGTTGCAGATGTAGTGAATGACCCGATGAATCCGAACATATGCTTGGAGACTCTTTCTCCAAAGTGTCCCAAAAAACATAACAAAAAAAGAAGTCGTCCTTTAAATCAGGACCCTTGTACCCCCGCCACCGTCCCCCGCTCAAACTAAAAATTGCTCAATTACCGAAACCCTTTCAAGTCCCGTTTTTGCTAACATTCTTTTGCTTGTTCTAACTCCCCGAAATTCTTCCTCCAGCCATCTCCAACCGCGGGTTACATTCTGTGGCCGGGCGCCCTGCTCAGACGTAGCAGAGGTACAGGTAGGTCTTCTCGATGCGCCAGTCTGGGGGAACGTCCTCGGGCTTGTGGGCTTTCATGTGCTTCTGCATGGCGGACAGGCTGGGGCAGTACTCCAGGCAGATGGTGCATTGGTAGGGCGACGCGCCGTTGTGGGTGCGCAGGTGCTTGATCATGGCGGAGTAGTCCCTGGATCGCTGGTGGCACAGCTTGCACTCGAATGGCTTCTCACCTGGGGAGCAGAAGAGGGTCGAGAGAGCGGCGTTAGACCTTTGGGGTTCTGTTCCACCGTTTCCAACACTTGTGGAACCGAATGCGGTCAATCGATTTATCCAACTATACATTTTACTGAATAGTCTTTTGCCGTTTTTCTCAGTTTGAGTTCTTTACTTTGCTAATGAGACCCATTTCTGGCAGTGACTAAACAAAATTGCAATCAGTTGAAGTGCTGCTTTTGAAATAGATAATAATCACAAATCAAGAAGTAATTATTGAACAGTGTCTAAAATAAGTCTATCCACCATCCGCGCACATCACACCAAGTGCAGTTCTATGAAATCCAATCCGCCGTGACGTTCTCATTATGCAAATATATGAAAACTCAACAATATTGTGCGTCTACAACTTAGATGTACCAACGACAAAAGCCCTCCACCCGGAAAGCTCCGTAGTGCACCTTTAAAGTCACTTACCATCGCTCATTACGCCTGTTGAGTAGCTGAAAAATATGTCCTATTTATATCCCAATTACTGCCTGTGCTCTGTACGGCCACAACAGCCCAGAGTTCTCCCATCTTTAACCAGTAGCAACGGCTTTGTCTCTGCGCTCGCCTCTCTCTCCACGTTGGCCACTATTTATTACACAGACAGTTATGGTGGCGATAATGACTTAGCGGGCTGATTTGTATTCCCTCAAGCGCCGTCATAATTAGTCCATCATTTCGCGCACTGTCTGGGAGCCCTGGCCGTCGCGCTGACATTGTGTCTGCGAGGTGAACGCGTCTCACTCCCGCCTGTCCCTGTGTGCTCGCAAACCAATTACAGAAGGCGACGGGGCCGGCTTTAAAGACACGGAGTGCGCCGTGGTCTCCGCTCGCTGGGCTGTTGTGCTGCAGACAGTGGGGACCTGGAGGACTTGTTGCTTGCCGCGACCGCAGTTCCAATTATGGAACCCACGGTTGGGTTTCATGCCGGCCCAACGGGGGGAGAGATCTGGGGTCTTTCAATTAGTGCTGACGGCAAGACTCTTGACTGCTGAATATCAATGTCTAGCCAATGATTGTCACAAGAAAAGAGCAAGACTTTAGAGTATATCTGCATGTTTGTCCAATTTAGATACTTTTCAGATTAAAACTTCTGTACTTTTGGCCAAAACAAACATGACATCCAATGACCTCGGGGTGAAGTGATAGATTGAGTAAATCCAATTATTAGATTACAACAAAGTAAAAGTGACAAACTAATGTTCAATTAGGATCAAATGTGTTTCCTGCAGAATCTCCTCCTTGGTTTTTACATGAATCATACTCTGCTCATATATTTCACATTTTAGGAATTTTTGGTGGAAAGCTGAAAAGTAAAATTATTAGATTAAAGTAAACTGCCTTTGCATGTACCAATTGGAGTAGTTAAATTAATAAAATAAAACCTGCAGGGCCTGGTTAGTACTGTGATGGGAGACCTCTGGGAACAGCAGCCACAGTGGGGCGGCTGTGGCTGTAAAGTGCCAAACTGTCGCTGTGTCAAACCACTTCACCCCCATTGTCTCGAATGAGTCTGCTGTGTGTGTGAGTGGTTGGTGGTGGTGGGAGGGGCTGATGGCACAGACTGGTTGCCTCGCTTCTGTCAGTGTGCCCCAGGGCAGCTGTGGCTACAGTAGTAGTTTATCACCACCGTGTTTGGAGTGAAAGAATAATGACATGTGAAGTGTCTTTGAGTGTCCAAAAAAGGCGTTATATAAAATGGGTGCATTATTATTATCAATATTATTATTATTATTACTACTTTTACTATTACTAAACAATTGTTCTGGATTATAGATACACAACCCGACTTATTCAAGACAGAAATCACATAAAACTGGACTAAACAAGTTTTTGCAGGAGATGGGGAAAGTATTAGCAGCTCAGGTTAAGATGACGGATGTGAATTGGGACCAGAGTTCATTATATTTCACAAACTGAAATCAAAACGTGATCTGTGTGTATTTAAAGCCTCATAAAGACAAGCAGGGATCAGTCACATAGCTGGGAACAGAAGCTAACTTTACGTACAGTTAGCCCTAGCCCTAGTCCTGGCAATAAGTTGGATATCCATAAAAGTATACGGGAAAAAGTGAATGAGGACAACATTTTAATCTAAGCAAGTCTGACAGCCACTGGATCTGATGAGGACACAACAGCCTCTGGTTACAAGGTGGACGTACAGTATATCACCATATTAATATATTACAGCTGGATCTGCTGAAAATATTAGCTTACACAAGTCCAGTAATAGTGAATGAAAAAATAAATTAGGTTATGGTGATTGTAAGAGCAATGGTGTTTCCAATTCCCAATCTCAAACTCAAACAGGAATTAATCACTGACTCTAGCGGGTAAATTAGAAACTGCATGGTTAAAACTTCTTAATAGTTAATGTAGTCCATTATTGTTTAGTCCGTTTTGCCTTCTTTAAAATGCAGAAAGTGAGTCCACTCCAACATGGCACCCTACAAGCTCTCACTCTTCAGATTGGCTTTTTCTCCCTCGGCTCACGGTCAACAATGCGCACGTTAAGCCGCACTATCAACACGCCACGTCCAATAACTGACCCCACCGTGTCGCCCCGTAGCCCCCCACCTCTCTCCCCTTCTGGTCCGAGGCGCTAAGCCCGAGATAACACCAGACAGAGTGACAGGCTGGAGCTCCGGAGGCCAGGCCGCACAAAAGACACCTGCCTGAGGATAATCGACGTGAGGCACTGGGGCACCACGGCTGTAGCCCCTCCCCCCTGTCACACTCTGCCAATCCCGGATCAATACTCCACCTCCATTTGCAATTCATTATTATCTCATAATTCGGCCCGTTTACAATGGGAAAAGTCGATAGTGCCGCTGTCCTGTGGAGTTCGGAAATGGCTGGTTATTAAGGTGCAGGTCCCGACCACGGGGAAGATGATTGTGTATTTATGTACACAATAATATCATTATAGAATGTGTCTATTTCATTATTAGTATAGAATCTGTATCTGAGGAACAATGAAGGCTAATAAATGATATTTTCAACTTTGAGTAATGGTGACATTTGACAATGTCACCTCTTTTGTCTCATTGAAGCTTTTCAGCGAAATTAAATACTGTAAATCCTTCACTATTTCAATCACTTAGATTTAACTTTCAATGGAATTATTATACGTGACTTATAATCAAACTGAGCTGTACCCATGCTACAACCGGTTTCTCTGTTCTTTTAGAAATGGAAACATTAATGTGTTGAAGAGTATAGGCCAAGGACAAAATATAGTGTTTCTTAAATACAGAATTATAGTTCAATCCTTTCATAAATGGACTAAATACATAATGATCCATGTCAGAGATTAAAACAGTTGAAAATAGCCATAGGCTGAGCTCTGATGCTTTAACATTCAGGTTTACTCTGATCATTGTGCACCACTGTCCCAATCATCAAATCAATAAAATAGATATATAAATATGTCATCTTTAATAAACGACAATAGTTGTGATGTCATCTGAGACTCTGAGACAATGTCTTCCAAGATCCTAAAATAAGCAATGACCCCAGCGGCCACTTGGGTCGAGGTTAACCCGGCACCTCATCATAATCGGCCTGCAGCAAAGGCATTTTGGATGGCCCTTGTGCACGTGTGTGTGCATGTGCATGTGTGTGTGCATGTGCATTTGTGTGCGTGTGTGCATGTGTGTGTGTGCATGTGTGTGTGTGCATGTGTGTGTGTGCATGTGTGTGTGTGTGTGTGTGTGCACGTGTGCATGTGCATGTGTGTGTGTGTGTGTGCATGTGTGTGCATGTGCATGTGTAGAGGGGGGCAGCTGAGAGCAGTGACAGCCAGCGCAGGGCCAGATCACTTCCGACAGCGCATTTCAAATGCCACAGCGAAAGGTCAGCATTTACATGTCTAATTTGCGTCTGCCAGACTGGAGCGCCTTCGTTGGATTATGCGCCGCCATCACTCAAATCATTAGCACGTTTAGGGACGGCTTCTGTCGCTGAATGGGGAATGGGGCTCTTCAATTCAACCCAGAGACGTGCCCTTTAATTGGTCACATAGCAGCGTTGTGTTAGAAATGCTTTTAGAAGGACACATATTATGCTAAATAATCTGTTTTGAGCTTTTAACCAAGTTACAACTTTGTTTGCTCATCAAAAACAGACCTGGAGTTGATTTAAGAGCCATCCACGCGTACATTTCTCCAGTGTGAGATAAATAAAGTCTATCTAATCTTATCAGGAAATCCTGGCACAAACATGTCTCTTTGTCTTTGTCATGTCTTTTCTACTTCTAATTTAAATTAATTAAATGAGTAGTTGTTGTCTATTCTCAAACTGCAAGATCAGAGACAGAGGCTTATCAGATTTTCTTTCATCAGAAACAGAGTTAGCTTTAAAATGAGGTATAATATGCCATAGTAGTCACTTATACTTACTGCTGCAAGTGAATCATCAAGTAAATATCCTCAAGATCCTTTTTAACGGACAAAATAAACACAAATGAAGCATCAATCGTTCTGATATCTTTTGTCCAAGCTAATGGTAAAGTATACAGTGCCTTTAATACAAGATACCAACCCATGAAGCCCTGTAGTACTGTGTGTTTGGCTGTACCTATGTCCCGGTGCATGTGGCGGGACTCTGTACCTGTGTGCACGCGGTAGTGGGTCTCCAGCTGGTGCTTGAGGCTGAACTTCTTGCCGCAGCCGTTACATTCGTAGGGCTTCTCTCCGGTGTGGATGCGCTTGTGCCCCTTCAGCGTGCTCTCGTCCCGGAAGCAGCTCCCGCAGAACTCGCACTCGTACGGATGGTCTCCCGCTGAAAAACACACACACAAGAAACATTTTAGGATCTAATTTACCGCAAATAGACTTGACTGTGATTTAGTAACAACATATGGTTAGCATTATGATTCTGATTCTGATTCTGATTCTGATTATAGAACATTACATATTACATGGTTACTGATTTTTGTAAGTTTATAAACAATAATCTGTATAGTTTGACTGCCTTCTGGAGGTTTTAAGTCTCATGTCAAGCTGAAGTTGGCTGAATGACACTGACGAATAAACACAAGCTGTGCCTATGATCTCAACGGTGACTTTGGGTTAGCAAGGCAGACGGCCATATCCCATTACACGCAGGACCACGATTGTCAGGACTTAAATCCACACTGCTTCTTGAAGCTTTTTGATTTACTTTCTGTTTGGGTGTCAAGAAATTCCAATGTAAAATGCTCAGCCACTGCCAACACACGACAATCTGTGTTTTTACTTTTGAAGAAGAAAACCATTCCCGTGGAGAATCCCGGCTCAACTGATCCGAACACCACTCCTGTTAAAACTTTGCATAACCTAGAAGACTTTCCAGACCTTCGGCGGAAGAATGAATACACAAAACCCTGAAAGAGACTTAACCAAAATACCTGTACAACACTTCAAACCCCATCACAACTCTCTTTTGAAAACCTTGTCCGTTCCAATCATGATAACATCGGCATGACACGCTCAGAAGCTAATACCTGTCCAATACAGTGGAACGGATGGCTTCAATGATGGACTGCCAGGGGAACAATAGCCCAGGCCGGCCATTTAACAGCGCCACAATAGCCCGACATCCTAATCCGTCTTGTCTCCTGTCTTTACAAATCACCGGAGCGTTTGTTTTGGCTCCGTGTGCGTCTGTAACTGATTGTCATGTCGGAGCTGTTGACTGGACACAAGATGCATTATTGACCGGATAGCGGACCGGGGCCACATTTATAGATGATATGACGAATACGTTGAACTCCGGATAATGAGCTAACCTTGCCATCTCGCGACGTATTGCGGTGGAAAGGGAATGGCAAACGAGACGCTTATTCAAAAGGGAGAACGCATTGGAATTCAGAGTGTGGTGTTGTGAGGTAGATCTAAGGGGAAGGCCACTGGAGTTGTTGTGGAGGTTGGTGGTGTAGTGATTGCCGGCTCCCATTACGCAAAAGTTGAATGTCCAAACAGCTGACAGAAGAAAAACATAGCAATGTATCGGGAGACAAAGAAAGCAAAGGAGAGAAAAAGTCTGCAATGTTAGATTGTTATGGATCTCTTATAACACTTAAATTAACAAAAGACAACTATTTACTATATATATTTAGAAATGTATCTTTTAGGTAGGGTTCATTCTTTCTCTCATTCCCCATTTTTCATATGCACAGACACAATATAATAATAAGATTAATAATACATCAAACTTGTATAGCGCTTTTTTGGACACTCAAAGACGCTTCACATGGGGAATAAAATAAAAAAAGAGGGGTTTACGGAAAAGCTGGGTTTTGAGACTGATTTTTTGAAGTTTCCAGCTGCTCCAATGGGCAGTGGGAGTGAGCTCCAGTGGGTTGGAGCGGGCAATCACAAAGGCTATATCAGATAATATCTAAACAAAATCTGATATCATTTTGATTCTGCTTCCACTTATATGTAAACTTTTGATACTTTTTTGAAGAAGTCAAGATATTCTATTGATTTAAATGAGTTAAAGGTATTTCAAATGATTCTTCTAGAAGTCTGGCCTCTGAAAAAAAAAGAGCATATTCCAACAAGGCCACTCTGGTTTTTTTTGGTCCACTACTGTCTTTCACTGCAGTCGGAAACCTCCAGAACCGTTTCTTGCTTTCTCTGTTATTCGCCATATTCACAGAGAACTGGCGTTAGCTGCTAACCGCTACATAAACAGACAGCGACAGTGAGGCAGACAGATTATTGGCAAACTCATTACATTTGTAAACATCTCCCTAAATACCTTTAAAAACTAACCTGAAAATTGAGTCTTTGTCATAGATTAACCATTTAAGCAAGTTACTATGTGTACAGTATGGAGGGGAAAAGACCATTTAAAGAAGATGAAACATTGTTAACAAGACAAGATTTAAATGACACTGTTCAATTCACAGTTTTGGGCTCTCTTTATTTGCTTTTAAGATGTCTGTAGTAATTGCAGCATGGGCGTTTGGAACTTCCCAATAGGTAATTTTGCAGTGAGCCAAATGGAAATCCAAGAAAACCTCACAGATTCTTTTTTCTACATGGGCCCGATCTCGCCGCAATTCAATCCGACGAGATCTTGCCCCATCCCGAGCACGTAGCAAAAAACAAAAACGGCTTAGTTCTAATGTCCTTTCGAGTGCCTTCATTTCCCCACATTACACCGATCCATAATCTTTGTGGAGTCATTTTTGCGTCCGCGACATATCCAATGAGAGCACGCCACAATGCGCTTCTAAACCATTAAATTGCGCTTTGCCTTTACAGCGATGCCTTTTCTATTACCACCCCCTGCCTCGCTGCCCCATTATAATTCACTCAAACACAACTGCGCACATTCCTTCATCGTCAATCTGCCTACCGGCCGATCACCCGGGTCTCCCCAGTGGGTCTCCGTGTCTAATGGGTATTCGCATGTCACTGATCGAGGGGACATTATGATTTGTTCTCATCAAGTCCAATCGTCCCGTTTTCTGATGAGGGCGCTGCTCTTGTGCGCCACTTTTCGTAATCCACCCTGGCCCCCTTCTCCCCCTCCGGATTGTTCTATAATGTTGGCGATATTTAATGCGATCCACCTCTCTGAAGTCACCAGCAATGACCTATGTCTTTCATTACCGTGGCTGTCCGGAGCGGAGACGTGCGGTGGAATAAATTGCGTTTCTCGTTACGCGGGCCGGCCGTTAAGAGACAATTTGGCGGTGCGTCGTGCATATTTTATCGCGGAGGGCTTTGATATGCGCCGCCCGTACAGTAGTTGTTGTAGTGGTGGGTCTTTGGGATCGGGGGGGGTTTACGAGGGGCATGAAAGATGGATGAGCGATGATCGGATTGGGGGGCGCAAGAGACGGGGCAATGGGAGATTCAAGATTCTGTTATGGTTAGATTACAGGTCGCACACCCGCTGATCGCTCAATTTCATGTTGATCCTGCTGCCTCTCTCGGTGGGAGCATTACGTATATTCTACACAACACACATTGGCTGACAAATTTAAAACAGTGTTGAATGAAAGAAATCTGGGCTTAATGTACTGTATGTTATATATGATGAGATATGGTCATGTTTATTGGTTTTTAAAGGAAAACAACCCAGACAACTCAAAACCTTAAAAATAAATGATAAACAGGGCCTGGCTGTAGTGATGGGAGGAGACATCCTTTCGAGAACTTATCCCTGGGGAGGTGTTCTAGGCATGTTCCAGCACGAGGAGGCTCTAGGGCAAGAGATTTCCTTTTCTTATAATTGCATTTTCCATTATGATGGTATTTTGACATTACTTTGGTGTGACATGAGTTGCACTTTATTGTTTAGATTTAACCAAAACTGATCCAAATATAGAGGGGGTGGTGCTGTGTGTACTGGGTGGCATCTCTGGCCACCCCCCGACCCAGAAATGGATTAAGGGGTAGAAAATGGATAGATGGATGGACCAAATAAAAAGTTAAACACATTGTTTTTTATATTACTATCTAACTTCTAATGATGTGTTGCGTTAAAGGTTCTGAATAAATTAATTTAGCTTCTTTTCTTGAGAAAATGATGAGGTATAAAATGCCTTGGTAGCCCATAACCATAATTTCTGCAAGATAATAATAATAATAGTTGAAAATCCTTTTAAGGGGCCACTAAAAATTGTCTTGCGGCTGGAGTTTGACATTCCTGCTCTCGGGGTAGACCTGACAGACAGGAGGGGCTAAGTCTTTTAGGATTCCCCTGGAGCAGCAAGCAGAAGTGGAAGTCTGGATATGTCCATCCAGACGTTTGCCTACAGTACAGGTACGTGTCCTGGACCTTTATTAAGTCAAGGAAAATGGATGGATTGTTTATTGAATTAAGTATGTATTATTTTGTATGTATTGCATATTTATTTGTCACTCGAACAACGATGCAGTGCCCAGTCTGATTAGAACTGTATTCTTTTGCTGAAGCATAGCAAAAACAAACAGCGCATCTGACCAATTCTCCAATCTGGCTGGATTTCCAAAGATCTAAAGGTGTGCCATCTGTAACCCTTCGCTCTTTCGTCTTCTCTCCTCACGCATTTTGAACCCTGTGAAAGACGACGGCCTCATCTCGAGTTGTGCGTCCCGTTCTGACATACCAACCCAGAAACAACAAAGAAATGGTTTGAAGATAAAATAAATAAATAAAGTGACACTATTTATTAGTGTGAAGTTATCAGCGTGCACCTCGCCGTGCTCTTCTCCACAAACGCCAGAGATTACAATCCATCACGAAGCTACGCCATCGGAATAACAACGACGCGAGACAGCATTCACCTGCCTTTAATTAGAGCTCCAATCAGGCAGAAGAGGAGATGCTATTGCCAACGCTCTCAGGGACCTATGGAGACCTATTTATGCCTAATGTCCTGTTTATTCTGGGATGGTATGGTGGAGGAGGGGGGTGGTTAAATGTCACATGGTAAAGAGGTTTGTTGTTTGCACTCCAGTCGTGATGAGATGAAGCGGTATAAGCCGTATTAAAGAAGGCTTCAAAAAGAGGTTACAGAAGACGCATTTTGCTTTTGTCAGACTCTATATAATTATAATCTACGAGTGCAGCAATTAATCAACCATTTGTGAGAGATCATGGAGGTCATGAAATACTATGTTATGGTATACTACCAGTATTAGATTAGTTTGTGGGATACCAAGTTACTGACCTAGAGTCTTCTGGATTCAGGAGCCCATGTACAGCAACAATTCTGCGTCTTTCGCGCCTCAAGGGCTATTATTGTTATTTGTATTATCCAATCAGAAAACTAAATTATCATCACATGGGTCTCTCATGTGGGTTACTAGTTTCTTCAGTGGCTTTGGCTGAAAACTAAACCCAAGAAGGTTTCAAAAGAGGCCACACATCCCAGTAGTCTGGGAAGTCTTCGTGGTCTGTAAATAAGAGACACTTATTGGGAGCAACTTAGCTGTGCAGATTTTTTTTCACTTTGATGTTTTACAAACTAAACCCAACAACAGAGCAAAGCAGATGGATCTACAGTACAAGTCTGTGCGCTACAAAGGCACTGGCAACAAAGGATTACTGTATTTGTCGCTTTGTAATACTGGACTGGACTCATAACACAGATGCCCTCTTCAAGAAGGGCCAGAGTCGCCTCTACCTGCTGAGGAGGCTTAGGTCTTTTGGAGTGCAGGGGCCACTCCTGAAGACCTTCTATGACTCTGTAGCATCAGCCTCTTGTACGGTGTGGTCTGCTGGAACAGCAGCATCACAGAGAGGGACAGGAAGAAGCTGGAACATCAGGAAGTCCAGCTCAGTCCTGGGCTGTTCCCTGGACACAGTGCAGCAGGTGGGGGACAGGAGGGTCCTGGACAAACTAACATCTATGCTGGACCATGACTGTCACCCCCTGCAGGACACTCTCTCTGCTCTGGTGAGCAGCTTCAGTGACAGACTTATTCACCCTGGATGTGTGAAGGAGAGGGTCCGTAGGTCGTTCCTTCCTGCTGCTGTCAACGAGAATGTGTAACAGGAACTGCTGAGTCTGCACAAGTGTCACTGATAATTCAATAGTAACTTTGTCACTTGTCCTGTTATTAGTACTACTGTATTATTCATATCCATCTGATATTTCACCGTCACTTTACCTGTTGATATTATTTCTGATGTTTATTCTGCTCATATTCATATTCTCATATTCTACGCTGCTAATGTATAATATACACATCTGTAAATACTCCGAACCAAGTGCAATTATAGCCTTATATATCTTTTTTATTTTATTTTTATCATAATTTTATTGTCTATTATCTTAAATAATAGACTTATTTGATGTGTGCAATCTGAGTGCTCTTATTTCCTTTCTCTGCTGTAATGTGCAACGATGACACTGACATTTCTCCACTGTGAGAGGAATAAAGGTTTATCTTATCTCATCTTAATAAAATAATTCAAAGAAAACACTACAGTATTTCTTTAAACTCCTCTCTCCCCCATCACCACCAGAGGTCCCTTGTGTGTGGCTTTGCACACGCTCACACCCCTGGAGCCAATATCACCCCGACAAGGCCCCGACAGGACTTCATTTTGTCGGGCTATCCTCCGGGGGGCCTGCGCAATAATGGGACAAGTCCTGAGTGTCACCCCCCTCCTGCTCAGTCCTGTCACCACATGGCACCGGGGCTGAGTGGACCCTTGGGTGCCCCCGATCCTCACCACCTGCGACTTTCCACCTCTACGCAAAGAAGAAAGACGAGTGGACAGAAAAGACAGGAGGCAAATGTTTCTGTGAGCGTGTCAAGGTGACACGGTAAGGTGGCAGTGGGAAGGGTCTTCACATGATTGGCTGCAGTTTACAACATTGGCACAACCACATTATGGAATTAATTTAAAACAGATTTGTACAAAAAGCAAGACAGGCACAACCTGATTGTTTTATGTTGGTTTGGGTTGGCCTAATCTTTTACACTATAGCCAGGCCAAAACAAATCTGTGTCAGCAACACACGGGTTAAAGCCAAAGTCCTCCAGATGTTGTACTTTTTCAGGGATAAACCTATGAGCTGCTTTACATCTCTCAGTCTGTACAGCAAGATTTCATCAAAATAGCTACGGTTCACTTGTGGCCTGAGATAGAGCCGTCATTCTAGTGGATGGGCTTCACTGCTTTATAGTTCTATATAGTAGACACAAACTCTTGATCATTTAATGACAGAATAAATAGTTATGTCAGTTATTTGTCTTTACCCAGAGGGGGTTGTGGGGGTCAGTTATATCAACTCACTGTCCACTGTGTGATTTCAAAGTAGTTACTATAAGTGTCTATATGTGTTTTTATGTGGAATTGGAGTTTCAGTCTCTGATCAGAGACAGGCACCCGGCTGGCACACAGTAGAGTGGACCCTCGGGTGCCTCCTGATCGCCGCCACCTGCGTCTCACCCCTCCCTCCCGGCCTCTTCCAGCCTCATTGCTCTGTGCTGAAGTGCCCGCGGACACTAGTCTGCATGGTTATTATGTTACACCAGGAACTTGTAAATCACCGCACTGCATCCCTCTGGCAAGACACACACATCACAACCCCCAACCCTCTTGTTGTTGTAAATAGTTCATATTCATATTATTATTGCATAATTAAGGAGGAGCCATCTGAATCATATGGGATTGTTTGGGCCGAGTGAATGTAAGGAGCAAGTGACACATTAAGAACAATGTTTGATGTTGTTTGTTCACAAGAAGGTTAAAGCCTGCGTTCCAGAGTTTGTTACCAAATTTAACCAGTTTACGGCTCTCGTTATTGCAATGATATGACGTGTGCAATAACAGGATGTGTGCAATTGTTGGGTGTGTGCAATGATGCGGACTCTAACATTGTGGATTTTGGTGGACTACAAATGTGTGGCTTGTGCGGGAATGCAAGCTGGGTTTTTATAATCTGGCATGTTTACATTCATGTTTTTAATGTGTTCATTGACGTGCACTGTCCTAGTCAAATAAATAAATAAAGTGGTATTGTACTACAAGGGCCCACCACTTCTTTATTCTTGTGCTTTGCTAGATTTTTTACACAGTACAGCAGTTTGAGGAGTGATCAAGAAGAAATGTTATTCTAAAAATGGTCAAAAGACAATCTGGCCCTTTCCCAAACCTCCTCTCCCTGGCCCCAAAGACACGACACATGCTGCAAAGTCACTTCAGTTCCTTCGGCGTTCCCTACATCTCCACACTCCAACTTCTTCACAGTGTTAGAGGCAGCTGGCACTCTCACTGATAGCATTAATATGCAGAACCATAGGACACAGGAAAGGGAGCAGAGAGGCGTTTGGGAAAGGGCCATCATCAGCCGGACCGAGAGGCAAATGGACGGACATCAGCAGAATATGAATGCGTAAAAACAAGATAAATAAGTAAATAAGGCAGCGGATGTGTGGAGGGATTACTGAGCGGCGTTTTATTCAGGGTCAATTAAAGCAAACGAGAGGAGCAGAGAGTGGTGATGGAGTGTGGAGTGAACTAAGATATGTCAGCTGGAACGCGACGCTGTTGTCATACTAAACACCGAGTGGAGTGAGATGGATGCGCTCTGTCCGTTGCCATGGGGATTTGGGGTTTATACATTTTGTGATCTTCATACTGTATTACCGGTCAAAACATGGAGAACACATTGTTAGTTGCACCCATCCGCCTGGCAAGTTCCAATTGTCTCAGATGTGGATGCTTCTTCCACACTGCATAAAGAGAGCGTTGCAAAAAAGACATTAATATTTAAAAATGGGGAATAACATGTGGATAATCGCTTCAGACCTTTTCATGATGTAACCGCTTCTCTGAGTTTTCCATTTCAGGTTTACAAACAAAGACATAGGTTCAGTGAAGGACATTCTCATACAACATTAAACTCCAACTGCCATTTTTTTTACTTACGTTTTTTTGTGTGTTCATTTTCTGACTCTGGAAGTGGAGGATGATTTGTCTCAGGCTTTTTGAACCAATGAAATAAATCCACTGATCGCTAACTTGATCAACGACAGTCTGATCATGTCTTTCAAGTATGAAAAAATCCATGTGGTAATGATTGCTTCAATCGAGTGGTTTTTATCTTAATTTTACGACATTCTGACGTCTTAAAAATGTGCCAATGAGACAAAGCCATTTAGTCTTTTTTCAAGGAATTTAGCCTTTTTTTTCTTATTCTAAGGGAGACATTTCTTGTATATCTTTAAAACAAGATCATTTTGGTTTGTCCCATAGGCAAATCTTATTTTAAGGCAAATTTAGGTAATTATTTTTGACTTAATTTTGATTGCTTTTTGCAGTGTATAGTGACCTCTCCAACAAGCTGTGTATAAAAAATAAATACACAGGTTTTCAGATAAATATTGACATTACATTCAATATATATATATTTTTTACTCAGTCATATGGATTAGCCTATAGAAGTTAATTTATTATTGACTCAAAATGAATGGAAAAATTCCCCTGTGTAGCGGCAGGCTCTGAAAGCAACGCAGCCCGGTCCCGACCCACTGCACATCCTGAGATCCTCACACAATGCAAATCCAACACCTCCTTGAACAACAAAAAGACACCTCTTCCTTTAACCTTGGGTCGACCTGTGTTTTTGTCTAACTCGTTGGACTCCGTGCGTCTCCTCCTGCTTTACAAACACCTACAGCCGTCAGCCCACCTCAGTCACACCGGCGCACACAACATTCCCTTTGAGCGGTAAACATTCTGGCCTATTTTTTGACTGCGGCGAATGGGGCGGATTATTAACATCAAAGTGTAACGGCGCGCGCTCGGGTCTGGTCCTTGGGAGGGGTAGGACCTATTTTTGGGATCGCTGTGATGATGAGGAGACTTGCAGACGTTATTATTTTGGGGACTTTTAAAAAACGTTCTAATCTGCAGACAAAAGCGGGTAAAAGGAACATGTGTGATGTTGTGAGAGGGTTCAAAGGCGACGGTTTGAAGACATTTAGAAGTTTAATAAGCAGAAGATCACACGTTACACTGTGGCATTGATGGACTGTTGGTGCAGAAGTGTCTTGCCCAAGGATACAGTCAATGTCTGTGCGTTACTTTGAATGACAAACGTGTCCTGTCTTTTAGTTATTAATCATTTTGTTGATAAAATGACTTCAGTCTGGGTGACCTTGACAGTATTGGAACACATAATTAACACATATTTCAGCTTGTTGCATCAGACTTTACAACGGAAGAACTATTACTGTATGACTTCATTTCCACGGTCAAATACTTTACTTTATGGTTGCATCAAGGGAATTGAATAATCACAGCTTATCAATACTGTCAACTCAAGTAATTGTTTTTAAGCATACATAGATTTAAACATGCTGGGAGGACATTTTATTTTTTTTCTTCTCAAATATATCCAAAACCAGTCCATACATCAGATAGTTTAAACATCAGTTACGTACGTTCTTACTACAACACAAATATCGGCTAAATGTATGCATTCTGACATTACCAATGAATACATACCGAGTTAAACTTCCATAAGACCCAGATTTACCGTTGCATTGTGGGCATTGCTTCCCTCTTTCCCCCTCTCCTGTATACCTCCACATCTCGGCTGACTTGTAAATAGCCGCGATCGCCCTCATCTCGCCGGCTTTCCTTTCAAATATTTATCCGCGCCGCGCTGAGCTAAATCGCCTTTGACACCAAGACTGTTATTTAAGGTCGCAGACGGGCGGGAGCTGGCGGCGCGAGGGGAGGGGGCGTGTGAGAGCTGCTGTAAAGGCGCGAGCGGCCTGGGTTTGGTTCATGTTGCGGTTTGGGCTGAAGAGCTGCGTGGCCTAAAGTCTGGGTGGAGATAAACATTTGGACGGTGGGCTGAATGAGTGCGGCTTGGGTTACAGTGGGGGACGGCCTCACGGTAACGCGCGGCGACTTTAAGTAAAGAGATGAAGTGTGGCTGGTGCAGGGGGAGGAGGGGGAGGCCTGGGGGACAGTGCGGCGACGGAAAGAACAAGGAGGCGTGATGTTTTGGCCGTTTGTGGAGTGTTGATGATGCGACACGTTAAAGTCAAATAAGAAAAAATTGCTTTTGAAAACACTTTCTACAAAAATCAGGATGTAATGTGTGTGAAGACACTGAAAAAACAGTAAGTAGAATAATCAGTGGTGGTGAGTTTATCTCTAAGAAGCTCCATAAATAATGGCTAATCACAATCATACTTTGGGAGATAAAAAAAAAAGAACCTTTTAATATTTATTGGTTCTATGGTCCAACATCAGTGTGGGGAAAAATACATTTTAAATTATAAATCCTAAATGAGTTAGCTGAAATATAGATTGTGTTAATTAAACACACAGATCCAGACACATGCTTTGCCTGCATATATCTATTCAACAACATGTGATATAAAATCAATGTGATCAATATGAGGAAAAACACATGATTTTTATCGGCCAATATAAAATCTGAAATCCAGGGTCCAGGGAGTGGATTACAGATGATACGATGTACGCACAGTGAAAATACATCTGTACAGTGTTGATAAATGTTAACGCATCAAATATTAGATTAAATTATTTAAAGTTTAGTGTGACTTTATCTGAGCAAGCTGGTTCATTATAAAGGAAACACATTATACAATCCATTTGCAAGTAGAGTGTTATTGTGTAAATAAATAAATAAAAATAACTATTTAAATAATTTAAAAAAAATCACAATTGAGAAAGGCAAAAAAATAAGGACAACATTGTAGATACCATTTAAAAAACAAAACAATCAATTCAATAAAAAAGTAAAAGCATAAAAATGCAATTTTAATTTTCCCAGTTTTGTTGTTTGCTTCTGATTCACAGACAGCCTTGAATAGAGTCCGCTCTTATTTTTGCCGCTGCACTGTGAGGGTTTTTTGAGTGCGCTTGTAATTGGCCTCACCTAACCTGAACCGCAGTGTGCAGACCAGCTGCTGTACACGACTGTGAGCAGAGGTGGCGCTGTGGAGCTCAGACAACTGCACCATCACAGGTGCTTCACATTGGAGCTGAAACAAGGACTAAATCAAAGAGAACGTACATTTCTACAGGTCGTGGGTCATGAGTTGGTTTTTTTGATGAATTTGGTTCAGACTCATCTTAAAACTACTATTTTCCAGAGACGTCCCTTCTAAGTGCACAGGTGTGTTGGTGACTGTTGTTCTTTCTGTTCCATAAACACAGATTTTTATATTTGTATTTTAACTGATTCACTCCTGAGGTCTGAGGGTCAGCACCAGCTCCTTGTTCCCAAAACGAGGATCAAAATCCAGGGAGATCAGATCTTTTCTGTGGTTGGGCCTAAACTTTGTTAATCTATGTATTTGATTGGGACAGTGCATGTCAACGCACAGACATTATAGAAACATGAATGTAAACATGCCAGATTAAAGAAAGCTTATTTCCATTTCATTTACATCATTGCACATATCCACGTTATTGCACCTGTTCTAAATAATGCATTTTATTTAGAACAAGTGCGAACACATTTTAAAGTGCAGATTTTTGGGATCGCTGTGATGATGAGGAGACTTGCAGACGTTATTATTTTGGGGACTTTTAAAAAACGTTCTAATCTGCAGACAAAAGCGGGTAAAAGGAGCATGTGTGATGTTGTGAGAGGGTTCAAAGGCGACGGTTTGAAGACATTTAGAAGTTTAATAAGCAGAAGATCACACGTTACACTGTGGCATTGATGGACTGTTGGTGCAGAAGTGTCTTGCCCAAGGATACAGTCAATGTCTGTGCGTTACTTTGAATGACAAACGTGTCCTGTCTTTTAGTTATTAATCATTTTGTTGATAAAATGACTTCAGTCTGAGTGACCTTGACAGTATTAGAACACATAATGATGCATTCTAAATAATACATTTTATTTAGAACATGTGCGAACACATTTTAAAGTGCTACTTTGACCGTCTGTCATGTGACCTTGAGTTGGTAAAATATGTTGTACAGATACAGTTGGATTAGATTGAATAGAGACTAAAGTCATCCAGCTTCACATGGTTCTGAACAACTGCTGGTCAGGGACCTGAATGGCAGCGGCAGCGGTAATCCACCACAATTCTCTTGTGTGTTTGAGAGAAAGTTACTTTGCGGCTTTGCTAGTGGACAAACATTCAAACAAACAATGTGACACAAGAAAGAGTGACCAATGGGATCAGGTTAGATGGATGTAAACATCTACTTCCTTCTTTCGATGTTGGAATATGAAGTAGGCCAGCCTTGGAGCAGACCCTCTGGAGAGGTGTTGCAGACGCACACATGAACCTGCTGAGTGTCTTACCCGTGTGAGAGCGCAGGTGGCGCTTCAGTGCCGTGTGGCTGGGGAAGGTCCGGTTGCACTCGCTGCAGATGTAGCTGCGCACCCCGGCGTGCACCTCCATGTGCTGCTGCAGGGCCGGCTGCGTCTGGAAGCGCTTCCCACAGAGCAGGCAGAAGATGGCCATGTCCGAGCCTGCAACACAACACTCACAGTTAGAGGGTCCAGTCTGAGACGTCACATTATGGAAGTATATGTAGCACTGCCATCTACTGGTGGCAGTGGGAACTAACATGAGAAAACACTGGCAGCTGTGATCGATGTGACATGACAGCAGGAATAGTATAATTAAAGTATTTACAGCACAGAATATCTCCAAAGCCACATCACAGACCAAGTTCTATGAGGGCGAGGAGACCATTTACAGATGACAATTCAGGATGTCATTTAAAAGATCCATGGACGTACCAGGGAGTGATCTAATTTGTCCTTTGATAATTTGATAAGAGCGAAGAAGAACCTTATTTTGAATTCAATCTAATGCTTTTACAGCTTTATTTATTCACTTAACAACTTGAAAAACTTGTTCAGTGATTGAATGAAATGTGAAGTTTATTTTGCCCAAGCGATTTAGGGCTTTGTTTAGACTCGGTCACAGCAGCACTTTGGGGGTGGAGACCTTTTTTTTGTTTCACAAGTTAAATCTTTGGTGCACTAAATCCTCCTTGTTGTGAGGAACAAAACGTGTGCACGGAGCCCTGATGTGGGGTTATCACGGTACAACACTAAAACATTTTTGATACATGACCCAAAATGCTTCTGAAAAGTTGCTGCATTTTTGGCACAGATGTTTTTGTGGAAGTTAGTGGTAATTGGGGCGTAAAGGCGGCTTCCTGTGTTACAAGGCGTCGCGGGGGACACAGTGAGCCAGTCCCAGAAGAGAAGGAGCTGAGGAGCCCCTGAGGATCTCCGCACAAGTGGGAAATTTAGACCCAAAAGTACAGACCATCTGAAAATAACCTCAGATGTAGTTATTCAACACTGAAACAGGCAGCTCTTTTGCCATGAATATATTCAACTCAAGGAAATATGCATAATTTTTTTTCACTGAGGATTTTTATAACCTTTGAATTTAACTAAGAAATGTGTCTACGATAAAAGCAAATTGGCTCCAGTTGCCGGTGTCAAGTGAGGTAATCTCTAATAGAAATAAACCTCCCTTTCATTAGACCTGCCCTAATCTTTCTTCCAACGTGTGGCTTAAAAAACAGTTATGTATGTGTGTGTGTGTGTGTGTGTATGTCTGTGTGTGTGTGTGTTGACTTATGTGCAGATCTCGATGGAAGATTCTGCTGCACATTTTATGCTCCATCCATCCAAAAACATTGTCAAATATGAAGATTATTGGGAATAAATCCTTTTAACAAAAGTCTTGCCTCCAAATGATTTGCTTGAGAACTGATTTAAGTGGTTGAAAAAGCAACATGTGAGGTCAAAATTACATGAATGTGAAAACTAGTGATAGATCCAAACTATTTTGAGACCTACAGGAACAAGTTAGATGGATTTTATTATTAAACATTGTTCAATTTGTGGTGGTATGAAAGTTAGCTATCTCAGCTTGAAAAGACAAAATGACCACAGAGAATGAGGTTTAGATTAGGACTGGAACTTACTGTAAGTTAATGAATTGACTAATCTATTATACAAAAGCTTTTCAACTCATTTTCTGATCAATTCATTCTTGTTGGACTTTACATAGACTTGAACATGCTTTGGTCTTTATCGACTGAGCGCATTTTACAGACCAAGGTCACGCTTTACAATGTTCAGAGTCAGATATTGTTGCAATCACTCCACACTGGATCATGAGTAAACCAACTGAGGAGAAGAAGATGTTCACTTGAGCTTTAGTTTGCATATTCAGTGATCTTTCATGATCTAAACAACGAATGAAATCATCAAATTAACAACTATAGTCAAAGATAGTAGTTGAAATAAAGGAAAACAAATGTCCTCTTGTTCCCACTTAGCTCCCAGACTTTCCCACAGCGACCTGCTCAGTGCTGTAGCCGCTTACTGTTCCCGTTACATAAGACGGTACTTCTGATCCGTCATATCACCACTTCCTGTTCCTTCCTTTGTGAATCTCCAGGATTACAGAAGCGCACTGTACCGCGCCGCTGTACGTGCCAAGGTGCTGCGTACACCGCCGATAAACATCTCCTCGGCTACACTTCAATCCGCTCTCTGCTTGGCATTTTTCTTCCGTTCTCGCCGAGATAAAGAGAACACACACACACACACACACACACACACACACACACACACACACACACACACACACACACACACACACACACACACACACACACACACACACACACACACACACACACACACACACACACACACACCCACACACACACACACACACACACACACACACACACACACACACACACACACACACTTTTGCCTGCGCTTTTTCAATTACCGGGGAGAAAAACTCAGGGGAGCGCGGGCCGAGTGTTTGCGCGCGCAGTTTCTATTTCATCAGTCAATAACACATCTTTGGGGCAAAAAGCTGACACTAATTTAAAAATCTATGAAGAGCGGGCCCGCCTCGCGTTCGTAGGCAAGGGAGAGGGGGAGGAACCGCCGAAGCTCTCCGCGGCGGATCAATCACCGTCTGGCAACGCGCTTTACTCGGCTGTCGGCTGATACGAGTGAGTGAGGGGAGAGGAGTTGGAATCAGAGAGTATTGACAAAGTGCGGAACTATATATGACAATGGAGGAGGGAAGTTTGTTTGGTAAACGTTTGCTGGTTTGAAGTAGAGAGAGTGGAAAGGTGACTTGGAATTTACTTATGTGTAAGGTCGTGATGGGAAAACGCTAAGAAAATGAACGTGGTCTTGAGAAAAGAGGAGTGGGCAAAACTTTAGCAAGACACAACCGTAATGCTTCTGCCTGATATTTAGAGTGGGTCATTCTTGTATAAACTGCATTTGAAAGCGATCATACACCAAAATTTCACTACACTGCCAAGAACAAAGAATAACACAAAATCAGAACGGTTTGGATGTCGTTTGGATGCTGATTTTTTATTTTAATTTTAATTTCTAACCTTTATTTAAAGTAGTACTAGAATTTAATATGCTGCTATCCAGAATATATAACTAAAATATGTGTTTATAATATTTCGGGTGTTCATTTTGACATGTTCAGATGAATTATGTTAAAAAAACGGCTTTGAAGTGGCACCTTTTCACTTCCGCATAGAATCGCTAGGGGGCGCCAAAATGGCGGCGATGACGTAGGAGAAGGACCTCTCACAGCAGCAGCAGCAGTCTGGGCTGAATCTGTAGGAGGTTTCACTGTCATCTGAACAAGGTATAAACATGTTTTCATCCGTTTTGTACATTGGGCGGCACGGTGGCTGAGTGGATACAGTAGCACTCTTGCCTCTCAGCAAGAAGGTCCTGGGTTCGAATCCCGGTCGGACCAGGGCCTTTCTGAGTGGAGTTTGCATGTTCTCCCCGTGTCTGCGTAGGTTTCCTCCGGGTACTCCGGTTTCCCCTACCACTAAAAATATGTCCAATAGTTCTGGCATGCGCCTCCTGTACCGGCGACCCCGCTCCCATCTCTGTGTGGAGTGAGAGACAAATGCCCATAATTAACAATTGTAAACTGCTTTGAGACTCTGATCTGCAGTGAAAAGGCGGTATATAAATAAAGATTACTTACTTACTTACATAATAGTGTGCAACTCTTTTAACCTTTTAGCCTTATTTGTGAGATTCAAGCTAATTAGTGTTGGCCAAGTTAGCTAACTCTACTTGATATCATAAAACATGCTAACAAGGCTAATATTAGTTTTTACATTATGCCAGTCTCACTTTGCCTTAGATTTATTTACCACAATGTACATTGTAATATCCATAAATGCTAATCAAAATAACTTGAATTAAATAAATATTTTGCTTTTATGAACAAAAAGCTGCAGAAGTTGAAAACATAGACTACATGTGATGCAATCATTGATAAAAATGCTAATTAAACCGTTAATAGGTGTTAGCATTTATGGATATTACAATGTACATTGTGGTAAATAAATCTAAGGTAACCAAAGTGAGACTGGCATAATGTAAAAACGAATATTAGCCTTGTTAGCATGTTTTATGATATCAAGTAGAGTTAGCTAACTTGCCCAACACTAATTAGCTTGAATCTCACAAATAAGGCTAAAAGGTTAAAAGAGTTGCACACTATTATGTACAAAACTGATGAAAATATGTTTATACCTTGTTCAGATGACAGTGAAACCTCCTACAGTTTCCAGCCCAGACTGCTGTCTGCTGCTGTGAGAGGTCATTCTCCTACGTCATCGCCGCCATTTTGCGCCCCCTAGCGTTTCTATGCGGAAGTGAAAAAGTGCAACTTCAAAGCCGTTTTTTTAACATAATTCATCTGAACATGTCAAAATGAACACCCGAAATATTATAAACACATATTGTAGTTATATATTCTGGATAGCAGCATATTAAATTCTAGTACTACTTTAAACCAGGAAAGTACCATTGAGATTAACAACTCTTTTTCAAGGCAGTCCTGGAGACGAGGCAGCAAAATGTATACACACAATTACATAAATGATTGAAACCTTATGAAGAAGAGAAATTTGAAAAGCAATTCATTAAAAGCCCTTGTTTCCGTGTATTTAATTAATAAACATATTTCCCGCCAGAAACTAGTATTTTAACAGCAATACTCTGTTGGGAAAGTAGTGGTCGTCTCTGCTTCCCTTTTGTGTATTAAAACTAAAAGATTATGGCAATACCAGATGAGTGAGTTAGATGGTTTGAGAAATGCTGTTCCACTTTTTTGCAATTGCACAGACATAATCAAAGAAGGCTGATGACATTATTGACCGATTCATCAACTAAACCCAACCCAAATGTTACAGTAGCCAAGCGTGCGGCAGATGGCTCCTTCCTGCTCCTCTGGCTGTGTTCTATGGATGGGTCTTTTCATTAGCCACTTGTTGAGCAGATCGATGCCGACTCCAGGTGAGCCCACCACAGTCATTATGTGAGAAGGAGAGATGCTGGAGCTGAGGCTGGGTCAACAATAAGTGAACAGTCGAGCCCTGGAAAGACACACCACTGCTGCTACAGGACATCTCTGACAATAA